TATATAATATTTTATGAACAAAAACTTTCTTATCTAAAGTTTTCTATGGTTAAATATATAATATGTTATGAACAAAAACTATCTTAACTAAAGTTTTCTATGGTTAAATATATAATATGTTATGAACAAAAACTTTCTTATCTAAAGTTTTCTATGGTTAAATATATAATATGTTATGAACAAAAACTATCTTATCTAAAGTTTTCTATGGTTAAATATATAATATGTTATGAACAAAAACTATCTTATTTAAAGTTTTCTATGGTTAAATATATAATATGTAATGAGCCAAACCTATCTTATCTAAAGTTTTCTATGGTTAAATATATAATATGTAATGAGCAAAAACTATCTTATCTAAAGTTTTCTATGGTTTAATATATAATATTTTATGAACAAAAGCTATCTTCACTAAAGTTTTCTATGGTTAAATATATAATATTTTATAAGCTAAATAAACATTTATAAGAAAGGTTCCGAACTCTGATTACAAATTCCAAAAGAAGCATATTTACCCCCTTAGAAATTTGTTTTATTGCCCTGATTTAATTTCATCAAAAGATAATCGAGTGTTGTTATGAATCTATTTTTGTATTTTTAGCGTGGCAGATGAAATAAATAGTTGACAAGAATTAGACACTTTATAATCATTTAAAGAGGAGAGTTGACATAATTCTGAGCTACCCTAGCAATGAATAAACGCGAGCAAGAAAATGGCCAATATTATCAAAACTAGCAAAATATAGAAATATTTCTCTGGCTATCTAATCAATGTAGGTTCTGTGCGAGAAGTTGTGAATCATTTAAAATGTTTAATGGGAATAATTAAAAAAAAAAAGATTTTTTAAAAAAAGAAGCAGCTATTTGTTGACGCTCAATAAATAGTATGCTTATCCGCAAAAGCTCAACTTTTAGGTTGACTAAAATATGCAGACAAAAACTTTTTTTTAAGTTTAACAGAGAATCTATTGTTGAGGGTGCAGCCTGCACTTCAATTGTGACATATTTAACATTTTTCTAAAGTTAAAGACAAATAAATTTTTTAACATTTTTAAGAATTTAGAAAAAAGCCATCAGTAAAAAATTTAAAAATACTAATATACACACATTTAATCCCATACATTTTATTATTAACTGTCTTAAAGTATCCCTGGTCCAGGTATATTCCTACCTGTCTTGAAGTATCCCTGGTCCAGGAATACTGTCTTGAAGTATCCCTGGTCCAGGTATATTCCTACCTGTCTTGAAGTATCTCTGGTCCAGGTATATTCCTACCTGTCTTTCCAGGAATACTGTCTTGAAGTATCTCTTTTCCAGGTATATTCCTACCTGTCTTGAAGTATCTCTGGTCCAGGTATTTTCCTACCTGTCTTGAAGTATCTCTGGTCCAGGTATATTCCTACCTGTCTTGAAGTATCTCTGGTCCAGGTATATTCCTACCTGTCTTGAAGTATCTCTGGTCCAGGTATATTCATACCTGTCTTGAAGTATCTCTGGTCCAGGTATATTCATACCTGTCTTGAAGTATCTCTGGTCCAGGTATATTCCTACCTGTCTTGAAGTATCTCTGGTCCAGGTATATTCCTACCTGTCTTGAAGTATCTCTGGTCCAGGTATATTCCTACCTGTCTTGAAGTATCTCTGGTCCAGGTATAGGTAGCTGGAGGGTTAGAATCAATCAAGCAGTGAAGGGTTACAGTCTCACCTTCCTCTCCAGCGCGCATTATAGGGTTCAGGCGCACTCGGGGCTCATCTTAATAAGATTTAAGTTTTTAACTCTATTCCGACTGACGGAAGGGGGGGGGGGTAATTGCAAAAACTCGTGTAGTATATTTGTAAAAAAAAGTTTCCCAAAATTAGGATATATTTAGTCGTAAGTAAATTATGCATCAAAGCAGAATGCCTCCAGGCCTATGCATTTTGATCTAAAACTTCGATTTTTGTCTCAAAAATGATAAATGTATATTTAGGAAAAGTCTAAAAATTTGAGCTTTTGAGCTTAAATACTTTTTGAGTTATTTAAAAAAAACTATCGGGGAACATTGTCGGGATAGGGTTAAGGGACTGAAACATAATCTTTATTTTACCCTTCATTAATAGAGGGGAAGGTTGAATCAAGATGGCGTCTTTAAGATCTGCGCTTGATAAAGGAAGATGAAAATAAACTTTTTTATAAGGCTGAAAATTAAGAGTGTTGAGAAACTCAAGATTACAGATTTACAAATAAAGTTAAACATATCTTCTTTCATCAGCCAAAGGTCATGAAGAATTGCGATTATTACAAAGTCTATTTAAAATAAAGTAAGCTAAGCTTGCTTAACAAGATTTTAAAAAATTGAAATAAACTTACAAAGAACATCGATGATGGCACTTTCTTGTGATATTCCTATACTGTTTTCTACGCTGCACTTTATCACAGACCCATGGTACACCCTGTAAACATTGTAAACATTTAATTCAATTAAATATTTGTAAATCAATTTATACATGTATCCTTAAATCAATAAAGCAATCAATGTTTATAAATCAATTAATCACTCAATATTTACAAATCAATTAATCAATCCATATCTATAAATCAATCAAGAACCCTGTATACGTTAATCAACTAATCACTCAATATTTATAAATCAATTAACCACTCAATGTTTAAAAATCAACTAATCACTCAATATTTAGAAATCAACTTATCACTCAATGTTTTTAGATCAATTAATCACTCAATATTTATAAAACAACTAATCACTCAATGTTTATAAATCAATTAATCACTCTGTAATCTTTAATCAATTTATCACCCAATATCTATTAATTAACTTGTCACTCTAGTGTATTCTTAATCAATCAATCACTCACTCAGTGTTTCTGAATCAATTGATCATTTATGCTTTAATCATTTTTCACTTTATGTTTTAAAATAATAAAAATAAAATTTTAAAATAATGTTTTTAATTAATAAATAAAAGAAACTAATTTATTAATTATTCTGAAAATTAAGATAGCTATTCATTGAATTATTCACTTTATAATTTTTCCATCAATAATTTATCCCGAAAAGAAAAGCGCTCAAGCTTCTCCGATTTAACTTAATTGCACAACTTTAAAAAATAAGTTTTTGAACATTGTCCATTCCTTTTTTTCCTCCACAACATTACTTTATAAGTTCTTTTCAGTATTTTGTATAAATTAAAATCAAATGCATGAAATTGGAACCATATGCATGTAAATAAATTAATTAATGTGATATTTAAATTTTATCTTTAACATACTTTACTTTCTCGGCATGGAATGAAAAAATTATTATTCCGAAAAATATTATTATCGATATTTTTATCATTATTTTAATATGGCTATTTTTTATCATCCTTTCTACAATTATGTTCATTATCTTTATCATTATAATTATCATTATTATTATTATTATTACCTTGATATATTTGCAATGAGGAAGAAGCTGCTACTGAATCCTTGAACAGGAATACCATCAGCGAACCAGGAATATTTGGCAGGAGGAGGATTACTATGTGCCTACCACAAAAAAATTTATTGTTGATATTTAATATTTTTTAATAATAAAGGGACTGTTTACGTAATTTCAAGTGGCACGTCTGATTTACAACAGCGCCCTTTAAACCTTTGGCTGATCAAGAACGAATTAAATTGGAAAATTAATAATCTTTGATATTCTGGTTTTAATAATATAAAAGCTTTATTACAAAGCCAATTAAGTAAATAATCAGAATTAAACCTAACAAGATAGAAAATGGAGAGGACATGATTTGTTTTTATTTTATTGTGATGGTAAACAATAACGTAAGATGTTTGTTTACAATAAAACTATAGATTAAATATTTAATTATACGCGAAAGTAAAATGTAAACAAACTCTATCCACTCTCCCTAGTTATACCCGTATTGGTCCTTTCCCCTCTCCCTAGTTATACCCGTATTGGTCCTTTCCCCTCTCCCTAGTTATACCCGTATTAGTCCTTTCCCCTCTCCCTAGTTTTACCCGTATTGGTCCTCTCCCCTATCCCTAGTTATACCCGTATTGGTCCTCTCCCCTCTCCCTAGTTATACCCGTATTGGTCCTCTCCCCTATCCCTAGTTATACCCGTATTGGACCTCTCCTCTCTCCCTAGTTTTACTCGTATTGGTTCGTATTAAAATTAAACTTTAAAAATAGTAAAAATAGAAAGTTAAGTTAGAAGGTGATGAGTAAGAATGAAAACAAAGAACGGAATGTTTAGATTAGGAAAGGTGGGATTAAATGACACTACACTGTAGACGTTTTTTTAAAACTCTATATTAAACATCAGACATACAAACTGCAGGATTATTCACAAACTATCAGACTATCTTCACGTAATTTGAAGTGATTGCCTTCAAAAAGCCTAACTTGTCAAAGATAAACAAGATATTCATTTTTGTTTTGGTTAAAATTTGATTATTTTCGATTGTGGTTTCGTTCTGAGAATTACTTTTCAATACAGACAAGAAAGAAAATTGTGAAAATTCCGCATATTTTAAGATAGAAAAATGACGATATCCTCCATTATGTTATAGATAAAGGTTTAAGGAGTACCGGTGTGAATCGGAATGCCACTCTTAAAATGAAGACTCTATTGAAATACATTTTACAGTCCTTTGATTTTTATTGAGACTGAAAATGGTGTTTACATATTAAAATTGTTTGAAGCTATAAAAGTAAAGTGATTCGAAGGGAAAACTAAGAAGGTATCTTCATATCAAATAAACAAGAACACAGCATATTAATAAAATCATATTACATCTATATAAATATATATAAATATATATAAA